CAACCTACAGAATGGTAGAAAATATTTTCAAACTGTACATCTGATAAGGGCTTAATATCTAAAGCATATAGGGAACTCAAAAGCCAGACAATAACTTAATTAAAAGAGGAGAAAGGACTTAAGTAAATATATCTCAAAAGAACACTTACAAATGGCTAACACCTATATGAAAAAAATGTTTAGTATCATTAGACATCAGAGAAATTTGAGCTATCACAGAAATAATATAGCACCTCACATCTGTTAGGATAGTTATTATCAAAAAGACAAAATATAGGTGTGGCAAGAATGTGGAAAGTAGGGAAACTTATGCAGTGGTAATGGTAACATAAGTCAGTACAGTCATTATGGAAAAATTGTTTGACAGTTCCTAAAAATCAATTAAACATAGAACTACCATATAATCCAACAACCCCACCTTGGCTACATATCCAAAGGAGATGAAATCAGAATGTCAAAGAGATATCTGTACTCTCGTTTTTGTTGTACCACAATAGTCAAGATATGGAATCATCCTAAATGCCCAACAACAGATGAATGGATAAAAAATGTAGTAAATATAAACAATATAATACTATTCAAATTTTTAAAAATCAGGAAGCCCTGTCTTTGATGTCAGTATGGTTGAACCTGAAGGAAATTATGTTACATGACATCAAGCCAGCCACAGAAAGACAAATGCCACATGATCTCACTTGTGTGAAATCTACAAAAGTTGAACTAGTGGAAAGAGAGTAGAATTATGGTTTCCAGGGGCTAGGTTGGTGAGGGTGGAGCACTGGAGGAGATGTTGCTCAAAGGATACAAAATTTCAGTTAAATAGGAAGAATATATCCAAGAAATCCATTGTATAATATAGTAACTATAATAATATTCTTGACAAAAGCTAAAAGAGTGGATGTTTAATATTCTTACAACCAAAATGCTAGCTGTTGGGTGCTGTGTACTCTAATTACCTAGATTTAGTCATTCTACTCTAATATATATTTAAACATCATTTTGTATATAATAAATTCATGTTTATTTTGTGAGTTTAAAAAATGAAATAATTTAAAAATAATTTTGTGAAGAATATAGTCTAAAAATGATGTGCTTTGTTTTGTTTATTTGCCTTTTTGGTTTTCATATGTGAAATGTAACTTTATCAAGTTACAATAGTTGCTCTCATTACTTAACATATCTCTACTATTATCTAAAAGTTATATGTCACTTAATATAATAAAAAATGCACCAATGGAATTTATTTGCCGTTCATTCATTGCCAGAGCTCCATTGGCCTTGACCACTTCTCTCCAGAGAATACTCTCATTTGCCATGATTGATTCAGTGTTTGTTAGCCAATGATCAGAAAGGCCAAATCAGGCAAGACCGCCAGGCCTGAACACATGGAGACTCCCACGTGCCCCAGCTGCTCTCTTAGAAGTAATGATAGATTGAGGCGGAGTGGTGTGGTGGAAGTACAGATGGAGGAACCCAGACATTGCCAAAACCAGTCACAAATCTGCCACTATGAGCAAAATGTCATCCAAAGTGGTTATGAGCTTGGCAGAGAGGTGCAGAAGCCCTTTACCTTCATAATCTTCCATTCTGCAAGCAGAATTAGGCCCTGTATGAGTCTATAAAATTGATTCAATGAGATTAAAAAATAGCATCTTATGTATGTTTAGGAAAATGAACATCCATGAAGGGTGTCAGGATGTGAGTTAGACTTTCATCATCCAACTGTATGTCTGTCAGTTTTCACTAAAATCCAGGAATAGCTAACTATATTTTAATTTTTTTGTTTGTCTTTGTTTTTTTTTTTTTTTTTTTTTTTTTTTTTTTTTTTTTTTTTTTTTTTTTTTTGGTACCGGGGACTGAACTCAGGACCTTGAGCTTGCTAGGCAGACAGCACCACTGAGCTAAATCCCCAGGCCCCACTATCTTTCAATTATAAAATCATCCCTTTCCTCCTCTCTTTATTCCTTGTGCAGACATTATCACATAGTATATACTCTGCTTTGCCATGCATTAGATATATAAATTAGAATACACTCTTACTCTAATTATTTTCTTTTATGTTCTATACCTCATTTTTATTTGACTGTTGACAGACAGTATAGTCTTTGTCTCAATTAGAACTTTTGGCCTGAAAGTCTTAGAACATTACAGATTTATCTGATCCCTGTCCCTTTTGCTTTGTTTAGCCTGATGCACCTTTAAGTGATCTTGCTTATATCTGTATATACGTGTGTATGCAGGCACACGTGCACGCACACACACACACACACACACACACACACACACACTGATGTGTTTTAATGTGGATAGGTTGGCTGTCAGTGTTTTTACTCTCTAGCCTGTTTTTTGCTACCTGGTGTGCATAGTGCAAAGCCTCACTGAATGGAGGATTCCAGAATTTCCACACCTCCTTTCCTATAGAACAGTGGTAGCAAACCTATGACACATATACCTCAGTGGGCTGTTATCACTGAAAGCCCTAGAAGGTTCACCATCACTGCTGTAGAGTAAGACTGGGGTTTTTGAAATAGCTAAGGCAAGTGATGCTTTCATTGCTTATTTATTCTCCTAGGTTTGTAAGTCTCCATTCCATTTCCTTGGTTAATTTTCTAATCATAAGTAATTTCATGATATTTCCAAAGGGAAAAAAATAACTTTTTCCTACTATTTTACACAGTGACAATACAACACTTGTGACAGAAGATTTGTGTGGGGGGAAAGGAGGTATTCCCCGCATACCAAACAGTGCTCTAACAGACACCAACTGTGTGTCCTACAATTTAACTCAATTCTGACACTCTCTACCTGAAGAGAGCATCACATCTCATGAGTTGCGGGCTCAGTTTCACAGGACCATCCCCTCACTTCAGATGCCACTCACAAGCAATACATTGTGACCTATGCTACTGACTTTAAATCCAGGCTCCCATGACTGTCTTGTCTGGTTCAACTGATTTGCTAGGGTAGTTCATGGAACGGATTGTACAGAGAAGACAGCAAAAGAGTAGAAAAGTTAAATAGTGTGTCCAAAGTCAGTAAGCCAAAAATCTAGTAAAAAAGGCAAAGACAAAGTAAAAAACAAAAACAAAAAAATGTCTGCAGTGTTCTTCATTTTAACTGCATTAGTACACTTCATTTCACTGCACTAGTACAGAAAAGTGACTGAAAAAAAATTGAATTTTTATAGAGTAGAAAAGTTAAATAGTGTGTCCAAAGTCAGTAAGCCAAAAATCTAGTAAAAAAGGCAAAAACAAAGTAAAAAGCAAAAACATAAAACTGTCTGCAGTGTTCTTCATTTTAACTGCACTAGTACACTTCGTTTCACTACACTAGTACAGAAAAGTGACTGAAAAAAAATTTGAATTTTTGCTTAATATTGAGGAGACCAAAAGCAAAACAGTTTAAACACAGTATGTTAACCACTGTAAGACTTATTTGGTGTTAAAGTGTGAAACAGAATGTTGTAGTGGAAACAGAGCCATTAGCAACAGTCTAGAGTTTCCCTGGACACCATCTGGATGCATGTAGCCAAGTCTGAAACCCTGAGTTTTCCTTAACTATAAAGTGAATTGGAAAACACTGAAAAAATTCTAGTTTTGAAACTTTATATTTCCAATTACCTGTGTGCCTTTTATGATATTATCATTTTTATTCATATAAAGAGATATTCCATAACAAAAGAGAAATCTAAAGTATGGGCATTCTTAAAACATTGGCAAATTTTCTCTAAAATTACTGGTCTATGGATAGCAAAGAAAAATCATCTATAAAATCACATTTTTGGTAGAAATGTTGAAAGTGAGATGAGGAAGATAAAAAGCTGGTGTGTAACATGGTTGAAAGAATAGAGCCGGGAACACAATTGCCCCAGATACCAGTACCAGGGCCCCAGTGTGCTGTACCTATAATTTGGAGGGTAAATTAATGAGGTGTTCTGAACCTTCATTCCTTACCAGTAGAGTGACCTTAATTATACCTGCATTTAGGATCTTGTGACCAAGTCACTTGTGAGTAAGTCACAAAGGGCCTGTCAACCAGTGTCAATAGATAATGGTAGTTATTAGCGCTTTCTTCTTTATTGATGAGTCTTACTCTTCAGTTTTAGCAGTGTCATTATTTGTTAACATTTGCCTCATGTCAGTTACTGTGTTAAGTGGGAATATGCTGTGCTGGGTGCTGTAAGGACAATTTAAGGGTAGAAGTGCGGATTTTGACGTCAAGGAGCTTACAGTCCTGTAAGGGCACCATGATTTAAGAGCTAATAGAAATTAAGATACCAAGAGGTAAGTGCCATAAAAAACAGACATCAGCCATTTCAACATAGTAGAAATGTATCTCAGGCAAACATAAATAAGGATTTATAATGTGTGAACAATGATTCTTTGCTATATAATAAAGAACTGCTGCATCGGAGTGTATATATAACTGTTGAACACATTGGCTCATCTGAATCATTCCTCATCATTGTAATTCATATTTTGAATTTAAAAATTACATCTCAGTGTGAAACTTGTCATAAACTTGGTTACAATCCATTTATGTTTTATGCGGCCTTATAATTTGATGTTATGCCCTCGCTGTATCTGAAGTTATTTATCTCATTCTTTGAGGAACTAAATTCAAACTACTAACTCTCCATCTCTCCACCATATCGTTTTAAAGGAGTTTAAGTTCTGAGAAGTTACTTTTTTTTCTTTTATTGAGTTTATTGGTACATTTTAGGTACACAGTACAGTTACATTTATTATTGGGATCTTGTACCCTTAACATGACAGGTCTTGGTTCCCATTTTTTCCCCTTGTCCCTGCCCTCCCTTCAGCCCCTTCTCCCCTCCCCATTTACAAACACTTTATTTCCATTTTTTAATTTTCTCATATATTTTCTTTTCCCTTATTCCCTTTCCCCTACCCTTCCCACTTTCCCTACACCTTTTTTTAAAAACACCATTCTTTAATCACACAATTCTGCAGCTTGACATTTCTTAAACATTCCTTTCTCAGATTTTTATTGGTGAGATATCCATGTATTTTATAAAGTCTACACGGGAATCCCTGATTGCTGAAGAGAAAACCATTCTGACTGGAGAATGCTGTTACCTGAACCCCTTACTGAGAAGAATCATCAGGTTCATAGGTGAGTACAAGAAATTGATGAACTAGGCCTTGGTGTATGTATAGGTAAAACTCATTAAATGTGGTGAGCACATTTGATAAAATAAACTATGGAACTTTCAACTTAAAAGCAATGGCTGCTTCAAGGATTTTCTAGGAAGGTCAGAAATTGAATCTAATCCTAGTGCCAAGTCAAATTTCAAATCCTTAAAATAAAGTGATGCTAATTAAATTGTCTTAGAAATGATTTCAACTTTTTCAGGCATGGTGGTACATGCCTGTACTCCTAGCACTTAGGAGGCCAAGGCAGGAGAATTGCCATGAGTTTGAGGCCACCCTAGGCTACATAGTAGGTTCAAGGCCAATCTGAACTGCCTACTGACTCCCTGTCTCAAAAAAACCTAAACAAAAAAGAAAGATCGCTTCTTGGCCTTTTGGTGGGTCAAGTATAAAAAGCCAAAAAATTTTTCAATTTTCAATTTTCCCCTATACAACATTTGTCTGAGCTTCTCTGTGGGCATATATTTTAACATTGAGTGACTATTGACATATATGTTTTAGCTGGGTCAGGCAAGGTGCAGTTGAATACATTTAGAACTGAGGGCCAGGAATACAGCATGCTCTCAAACTGTTTGGTAATTATTCATCTTTTTTCTTGTTGTAGGAAAGGGTTAAATTTCCTAAACTTGTGAATAAATTCCCACATCAAAATCAAGCATACAGTAATGGCTCTGACTGGAATAAGGATGAGGGAAGTGATACAGTGGAAGCCTAAGTAAATTTAATAGAAATGAAGCCTTAACATTAAAATAGTCCTAGGAATTTACTAATGATATTTGCAGAATAAACATTTCTGCAGATTATGGAAGGCTGCAGTCGGCTCTTTTGTTATACCCTCATCAATGGTGTGATGTCACTATTATCTATTCAAATTATGATTCCTTTCAAAGATGTCCAGAGTCAGATCGCTCCCCACCAGAATGGTTAGATAATGATTCATTAAGAAGAGAGGAACGATGTGTTTATTATAAGAAGTGCTGATTATATATTTACATACATACACACACACACTTTATATACACTGATTTCATCCACTTGATACCTTGGAAGGCATTTTATAGGTCTAATTGTACAGATTAGGAATCTGATAGAAAATGGAGTAAAGTAACTTTCATAAGGAGTACTGTGTATACGGATATACACACATACATGCTGTGATTCAAGGAAGAAGATTGTATAACCACCATGTGATCTGCTTCCTCTGCATGTACTTTAACAAATGATTCAAAGCAGAAGGTTATTAGAGTAAAATTAAATGGGAATTTCTTTAAAAGTCACTTATTTTTCTTTGGCAAAGATAAATCATACCTCTTTGTGATTCACCCTAGTTGAAATATGGTCCAACAAATAGAAATTGTAACTGCTATTTGTTATTTATGCAGGCCTCTAGGCTTCGACAGAGCAAGTCTTTGTTTGTTGAAGGATGTCAAAAGTCCTTACCATCAGAGAACAAGCCCTGCAGAAGGCCTTTTCTAGTATATGAAATTCACATTTGAGAAACCACAAGGAGCTGAGGCATTATTTCATCACCATCACTGTGAACGTAGAAATGTGTTACACTGGAAGATCATCAGTTTTTTACCTTCATAAGTACTAGTCCATGTGGGTCTATTATAAGCTAATAGAGACCAGGATATTGAAAACATAAGCCAGACACATTCAAATAGATCAGTCAGAGTTTGGCATTGTAAGGAAGGGATGATAAAGTAAAGACATAGCCAGAAGATAACATATAAATCCTGGACAACTGGAGGGAACCGCAGTAAAAGGAAAGAGGGATTGAAGAGTTAAAAAGTATTTGCTTCATGTTTTCCCTCTTCTGTTTTATGAAACAAGAATCCAGCCTTGCTCAGGTAGAAAAACTGGGAGATACTTTAAGCCATCTAGGAACTAATTAGAAATGCAAATTCTTAGTCCTTACCACATACTCATGGATCAGAAAATCTGGGGATTGATCCTGATAATGTGTTTTAGCGCAACATCCAGGCAACTGTGATGCAGGCTAAAGTTTGAAAAGCACTAGTTTGGACCATTAATGCTTTTGGCCTTTTTAATTGAGCTCCCAATGTATTGTCTTGCATCTTAGTTTCATTCATTCCAACCCACAAAAATCTTCCTGAAACAACAATATGAATGAGTTATTTCTCTACCTAAAACCTTTCAATGGATTCCTAGTGTCCTTAACAGCCTATAGAGTTCTTCACAGAGATCCTTTCTCCGTATGTCTCCAATCTTGTCTCCCTCCAGGCTAAATTGCTTCACGAATCTTTAGAAAGATGGTGTGATCCATTGCTTTGATTCCTATTTATGTGCTGCTCTTTCTCCCTAAATATCCCACTGCTATCACCTTACCATAAAATCTGTCAAAATCTTACTCATCTGAAACAATGGTATTTAAACATCACTATTTACTTATCCAGAAACCTAGCTACCTTGACTTTCAGGACCCCACTGAGTCTTGCACCTACCTTTCTTGTCCTAGTCACATCAGTATAATTACTTAAATCTGTTACTTCTAATAATGGGAAATTCCTTAGTCAGCAGGGACTGTGTCTTTTTCACTCTGTCAACAGCATATTGTAAAGTACATTGCACATAGATTTCTCAATATATGTGGGTTTTGGTGGGTTTTTTTGGATGGATGAAGAGCAAACTTATTAAATCACAGATTTGCCTGTAACTAGCTTCATAAATGCTGACTCTCAAATATTCATTTGCCTCCTTTTTAATTATCTTTATTACTGCTCTTCAGCTTAAGCCCAAGATAACAAAGTACACAAAGTAATTTCCAGGAGAAAGCCTTAGAAGCCTGTTTTGACTTTTCCTATAGGAGTTTGGGAGGTAGAGGGGTGACGAGAGATCTATTTGTCTTGAAAGAGATAATTTATTCTTTCTTTCTGAGTACCTATGAATTAATGTTTTTCATAAGAGGACAAAAATATACTACTTGAAATAAAGATCTTCTAAGTGGAAATGCTTGCTTTGACAAAAGTTAAAGTTTGATAATAAAATAAAATATAATTATTGTCAAGAGCTTACTAGCCTTTTCTTCTAGTTCAGTAGACACCAAAACACACTATGGAGTTGACTTTGGAAAATGACGACAGTTTGAAGTGACTATTTCGATTAAACTGAAATTGCATGACGGGGACAAGCCCCGAGAGCCATGTGTCCAAGGAATTAGGCCAGCTCCGTGTACAGTTGATGTAATTATTCTAGACTTCTTTACAAATGGTATTTCCCAATAACCAGCTGCCAGAGAAGGCCAGTGGATTAGCAAAATATATTTTAAGAAAAATAACACTTTATGCTGCTAAGGATGAGAAATGTAGGATTCTATTACATGTCTATAGGTATAAGTTGACATGCCCTTTCTTGGTTTCAGTGTGACAGAATAAGAACTTTAAAAAAAGGTCCTTTTTAGCTTAAAATTATACCTCGTGTAATCTATACTAAGGAAATAATCACAGCTATAGATTAGTTTATGAATTAAAATGATGTTTTTATCATATAAATTATAAATATCTAATATAGTTTTTAAACATAACAAAATAAGTTCCAAATTCAGAAACTGGCATTAGAACATTTCATGAAGGAAGAATATTCACAATATAATGTTATGTGAAAAAGTCAAAGCTTTCTAGTATTGTTCCTAAAGGAGACATTATATATTATTATTATGCATTATATATGTGTCTACATATCTACATATTATATGTTTATGTGTACCATGGAAAACAGAATGAAGAGAATTACACTGAAAGTTAATTGTCACTCTTGAGTTATAGAATTATGTGCGTGTGGGTTTTTTTGCGTTCTATTGTTCTGTAGTTTCTTTTTATCATGATATGTATAATTTTAAAATTAGAAAAAGAGCTAAAGGTATTTTTAAGGGATAGGTGGCATGATAAAGGCTGTCCAAACCAAAAAGTTGGTTAAGAACTCTAAAGTGACCAACAATGTAGAAAGGAGAGCTAAAATTGATAGCTTGGCTCTTGAATTGTTTTCTGTAGTCCGCGTGGCCTGACGTTGACTGGGTCACCTCTTTCCACCTTACAAGTTGCAATTAAATTTTAAATAAGAAAAATGCAAGAATAGCAAAGAAAAAACATTCAAATTTAACTATCTCCTCCTTTAGCAAATGCTAATTGTATTAACCTTGAAACAGGAGAATGAATTCCTGTGAGGCACAAATTCAACAACTGCTTTTCCCCAAGATTCCTATCATAGAAAGGAGGCCCGACTCCCAGGTTTTAAGTCTAAACACCAAGAGCTGAACAATTTGTACCCCTTTCTAAATTGCTGTATAATTTCTCAAGTTGTTGAATGATGTGGAAGGGGAGAAAAGGAGCTGGTCAATTTAACAAATTTGACCAACATTTTATAAATACAAATATAAATTAGTAATGTGTGTTTAGACTTCTCCCTTTCCTATTTTTTCCTCTCCATTCCTGTTCCTTCTTATTCCATTTCTTTTCATTCCATTGCGTAGTAATAGTAATTCACAGATTTACATTTTCAAAGAAAACCCTTTTCAGCTAAAACTTAAAAAAGAAAATCACTTTTGTCTCAGATTTACTAAGTTCAGGTAATTCAGCTCATTCAAATGTACATGAATAAACTTGTTTTTATAAGTATCAAACTATTAAATAATAACTTTGATTTAATATTGGAAAGTAATTACTAAAAAGCCTAAGAATTTGACAAGAACTTTAGATTTATTTGTCCTATAGAAGAAAGACTAAAATAATTTTCTCTTCCTGAATGCCTGCTTTCTTTAGAGTTAATTTACAAAAAGTAATCCAAGCGTACTGAGGTTAGACTGTCTTCCAGAAATAATTTGTTAGCTAGTTTTTATTTGAGATCACATAGTTGTTCCATTATTACTTGTAGTAAAAATTTAACTAAAGCAAGTCTTTGCTGTTTTGTAGGTCCATGGATTAGGTAGCACTGGACAGAACA